CGTCAGCCACGCCTCGTCCAAAGCATCCGACGCAAAGTATCCTTCGAGCCCCTCCATCAGCCCCGTCCCCGCCAGTGGGGGCGTCGGCATCGCGTTCGGCGCTCCCCACGGCTGGGTCTGACTGTACTGCTGCTGCTGCGCCGGGTACGATAACGGGGGAGGCGTGACGTCCATCATTCCTTGCGTCGTGGGGGGGATGCCTGCGGCACCTGTCAGTGGGTGGAGGTTTCGGGGGAGCATTAGTCTCGTGGGTGGTAGGATACGTACCTAGCCGTGCGCTGGCTCGCATCGTGATGGACTCGCGGTACCGCCGGAGGACCTCCAAGCCCCGCGCGGCGGAAGCGACGTGTGATTTGTGAAATTCGAGAATGGCCATGGCGCGGTCCCACGAGGTCTTGGTGGGCTCCGTGTCGAGGTTGATACCGAGGTTCGGGGAGAGCGTTGCGACGAGGAGGATGGTGGCTGATGCAAAAGTGACTACGCCGGCGTGTTAGTTCCGGAACCGCGCGAGCTTGAGAGGGACCGCCTACAGTGCAACGCATACCACGCCGAGACCCCCCCGTTTGTTGCTGGGCTCCTGTGTATCTCCTCGAGCATCGTGTGCACTGACGACAGGCAGAGCGAGCATATCTCGTAGTGGAGCCTCTCCTGGAACATCGATGAAGCCGTTTGCGCCGAGCCGGAAGTGGGTGTAGTCCACCGTTGCGCCTCGGCGAGGAGGGACGGGCGCAGGAGGAAGACCCGGATGATCAACAGCCGGAAACGAACGGTGAGGCTTTGGATGCGGAAGCATTTTACCGTGTCCTCGTTCAGCGGCAGCTTGGAGTAGTCGGCATCCTGACGCAGGTGCAGCGGCAACTGTTCGAGCAGGTCATCGATCTTGGAATTGAGGTGGAGGAGGGCGCTGGGGTCGGGCATCGAAAACTCGTGGCCCTGGTTGTTAAGCTTGAGGCGTGGCGCTCGTGCTGCTGCTCGCATCTCCTCCAGGACTTCCACCGTCTTCACCGTGTAGATCAGCATTTCCATGCGCGAGGGGAGACCGTCCGGTTGACGGCCTTCCTCGGTCGTGGACAGATATTCTTCATCGACGGCGAGGGGAATCGGCGTTTGGGTGAGTCCCGGAAATATCAGGCCGGACCGGCCAAAGGTGCTGGAGACGATCCTATCGCAAGGTTACCAGAAAGCACCACACGGGGAGGGTTTTGAAGCGGGCTCCATACTGATCCACGGAAACACAGCCGGCAAACCAAACCCTCCGACGCATCTCTCGCTCTAGTTGGTTGAGTTGTCGCTTGGGTGTGATATGTAAGCCCAGGCCAACGGCCACGCGAGTCGCAGCCCCTGACATGAGCCAGCAACGGTCCGCCCTGCCTGCAAAGTAGAGGTGCATTGCTCGGAGCAGCAGCAGCTGTACAATAGGGATTGAGGCGGAATCTAGGGTTTCTATTGAGATGAGCCGCAGGGACCGCTTGTAGAACTCGTCGGCGTGGCATTGCCTCTGCGGGAGCGGGATTGCCTCGTGCCGGAGACAGGCCACGGCGAAAACCATGTTTAATGTCGCGAAAAACAGGAGCTCGTCGAAATCGTGGCTCTGTGGCGTCTTCTGCTTCCAAACTGTGCGATACTTGCTCTCGAACATAGGCCAGTGTAGGAATGGGAAGATAGAGTGGAAATTCTGCCAGTACCAGCGGAGAAGCTCATCGGCGTAATGACGCGGAGGTAGGACCAGGGCGTGCGGGTCGATCTCGTCAAGAGGCTGCTCCAGGGTCTGCATCGAGAAGCCGACAAGATCGGGGAATGTGGGCGATTCCAACGCCGACATGGGTGACTCGGAGGCGGTAGTTGGGCCTGCTGCTTCCAAACCCCGGCGCATGAAGGTCGCGTTTGCTGTTGCCGTTGGTTCATCTGCACAGGTGTCGACGGCGTCCTGCGAAGCCTGCCTATCCCTACTGTCGTCGCCAAAAGCAGCGGCCGCCGGCATGGAACTAGACGCTGTGGAAAGCCCGGTTATACATATGTCATAGGTATGACATGAAGGAAGGAGTAAATACCCGCAGAGGGTGGTACACTCAGTGTAGCTTCGCGGGGCGTGTCGGGTTTAGCTCCGGCCCCGTGCTCGAGTCTCTGGAGTCTTCGGTCAAGCTCGACCAAGGTTCTGCACAAGTCAGTCCATGCCTGGAGGTCGTCGGGGATGCGTGTCTTACAGTGCTGCGGACGACTGCATGACACTGTCTGGATAACCGCATTTATCCTGCCAGTCCCTGGCCGAGCAAGCGCCGCACACCGGCCTGCGCCCATCGCATCCGGTCTTACGGGCCCGGCAAGGATTGCAGGCCAACCGCGCCTTGCGGCGTCGTGGGGCGGGCTGCCCGGTCTCCGGGACGAAGGTGCGCTGTGGTGTCTCCATCGCCGGAGATTTGTCGTGAAGAAAACGTCACGACGTTGGGCAAGATGATTGAGCGCCTTGGCGAGGCCTCGCTGCTGCATTATGTAATATTGCCCAACCTTCTCATTGGTGAGTTTTAGTCTGGAACGGGGGTCTAATTACAAGGGGGCAATAAGACAATAGGCGTTGCTCGGCTGTTCTTGGCTGACGAGTCCAGTCGTCTTGCGCCGATCCCGCCCGTGACTGCCGGCGGCCAGAGCCATGATAATCGAGAAGAAGAATGTCAAAGGCCTGCATGGAGGACAGCCGATTAGAGATTGGCCTTTTCCAGTTGAAAAGAAGAAGATGTGCGGGGAATTCCTACGAACAATGAGCAGGCAAGCCGAAAACCGCAGCAAGACGTATCTCCTCGGAACGTCACATCCGCCCTAGGGACGCCACAAAGCGAGAGCCTGGTCGGATGCCTGAAGGCCCCGAAAGATTATTGCGCAGCGGAACGGTTGACAAGCGCCATCAGATTGTACCCGATGTTGCCCTCCCCCTGATCGATGTAGTTCCTGATCAGAGAAACCGTGTCGGCGGTCAGGATGTCGCCATGCTCTCCGACATCAACCTTGCCCAAGGAGACCGGCCCCTTGCGGTCGCCGTCGAGCTCGTACAGGCACCCGTCGTCGTCCGACCGAACAAAGCAGATGTAGTGGAAGTACACCTCGTCCTCAGCGCTGTTTGGCACGGCAGAATCACCCTTTGCCGCCACAGCGGCATACGCTCGCTCGATTGGGAGGTCCACCTCGAGAATGCTGGCTCGCCGCAGGGGCCGGTCGTTGATGCAGTCGTGGAGGAAACGACTTAGAATGCCGCCTGATTCTACAACACACGTTAACTGCGCATGCGCATACTAACGCTGGAGCCGTGGAGAGACAAAAGCCCTATCCCACGTACCAAGAAATCGGTGAGGCTCGACGTTGCACAGCGCGTGAAGAATGGCGTAGAGACCACATGCGTTATGGATCCTCTGCTGGAACCACAGCACAGGCTCTCCGTCCTCGCCGTCGTAGTCGGGACGGGTCGCCTCCATCGCAACCTTCTTTTGGTCGTCGGCGGGCGTGGTCTGTAAGACGAGGACTACGGCGAGGGCTGGATGGGGGAGGAGCTCGGGCTCGTCGAGGGTCAGGACATCCTCGAATGCGATGTCGTCCTTCGCGCCGAGAAGACGTATCAGTTCATTGAAGACGTCTGGGTTCGACTCGAGCGGGAGAAAATGCTTCTTGTACTCTTTAAGCATTTTGCCGGTGGTTGGAGATGGAATTGATGATTCGAGATCCGGTGTTGGATGGTGGGGAAGAAGCGTGGGAGCAAGGGTTTGCCAGGTCCTGCTCCCCAATCCCCACAGCGGGGATCCCCACTGGTTTCAGGCACCGGCTCCACTGGACGCATGGAACCCCACTCCATGAGAATGGCTCGCTCCAAAGCTGGAAGGTGCTGGGTGAATGCTTCCTGTTGAGGCCCAATCCCACGATCCCACAACTACTCGTGAATTTCTGGGGACTGGCATTGCAATCGTGTTGGATAGGTACCTATTTCGGACGACACAAAAAGACGGCTCACAGCGCTTTCCCCTCAGCAAGAAGCCCCACAAACTGCCCAATCTTCTTCTGGCGCGTCTCCTCCCGTTTCGTCGTCGCGATGCGCCACAGAAACGCGTAGCGCTTCGTCTTGCCCAGGCCCTCGAAGAACGTCTTGGCCTTTTTGTTCCGGTCCAGCGCCGCCTGGAAGTCGTCGGGAACCTCCATCACGCTCGGCGACGAGTATGCCTTCTCCCACCGCCCGTCCGCCTTGGCCGCGTCAATCTCGGCCTGTCCTGCCTGCCGCATGCGCCCGGCCTCGATCAGCACCGCGACCTTCGCGACGTTCCGTTTGGACCACATGCTCCTCTTGCGCCGCGGCGTGAATCGCTGGATGAAGTGGTCCGCATCGTGGCCCTTTTTCTGCCCGTCGATCCAGCCGAAGCAGAGCGCCGTGTCGAGGGCCTCCTCGTAGGTGACGGAGGCGACGCTGCTGCCCTTCTTGCTGATCTTCAACCACAGGCCTGTCGGGTCGGCGTGGTTGGACTCCAGCCACGTCTCCCAAGCCGCCACGTCCGCGAAGAGCCGGATCGGCTGTGTTGCTGCGGCAGCCGGGACTGGCGTGGGCGTTGCTGCTTGAAGCGCCTTGGCCGCGAGCCTGGTGCGCGCTGTCATGTTTCGCTTGCTCACCGCAAGTTTCGCCGATGGCGGTTCTTGGTTGAGTTGATGCGGTTGGGGTGTCAGCGGCTCAACAGGCATCGACGGCTCAGCGTCCAAAACCGCCAAGCCCACCATTCGCCAAGCCGGGTACCCCGACCAGCATCAGCCCAGCGTCAAACGGCGAATCCCGTTTGCAACTTATCCCGAGATCAGGACAGCTTCGACCATGAATCGATCAGCAACTCTCATCGTTGCCTTGCGGTCCTCGGCGCCCGACGAATTCCCCTCGTGCCAACCTCGCCCAAAATGTCCAGTTCCGCGGGCCTTTGTTCTCAGCCACGGGGGCTTTGTCCCGTCCTGCGATGCCCAGGCCGCAAAAAGATGAAGCTCGATCCACCCAGGGGTCGAACCTGGAACCTCCTGATTACTCGATCTTTCAGATGAAGGAGTCGTAGTCAGACGCTCTGCCATTGAGCCAGCGGACCTTTCTGCCATCTCAGCTTGTTGGAAACTGGCATCGGGGAGTCAGGCTGAGAGCCTCGACGCATGGAGTCCCGGTCGCGCCTTCCAACTAGAACTCCTAGGGCGCAAATCAACAGCCGTGGCATGGAGGTCCCGTTTTTCCGTCTGCGAACAGAATCCTCAGTTGGACGGCTGAACCCCCCCTGATGTTTGAGGGACTTTGCGTTGATTTCTCGCCGTGGAAAAAGCCAAGATTCTCGAAGCAATCATGGCACGTCATCGGCGACGCGGTTCAGCGGGAAAGGCACGGCTCGTCTCAGCAACTCGACCCCTGGGAGCAGCCTCAAATTGGCCCCTCACTTTGACCACCAGGCCTTGGGTGCTCCCGGGCCTTGTTCCCGTCCGCCAGATGAGTGAATATGCCGATCATTTGGATGCGCACAACGAATCCTGGCTGGTGTTCCGGGACGAATGGCGGGCGTCAGTCATCTCAGATAGATGAAACGCACCCCACTGCTCGGCAAACGTCCCATGGCCAATACGATCCACACTTTGGAACCGCATTCGAGGTGAGAACTGCCTTGCTTATCCGGAACGGCAGAGAATCCGAACGGCAGAGGCATGAATGGGCCCGAGACGGGGGAAACACCGCAGCGGTTGGTCCCGAAACTCGACAGACACCCGAGAGGGCCGAGTCGCCCGCCACCGCCAGGCTCCACGACCACGTGATGATCGACCAGAGGATTTCCCCATCCTCGACCACGGAGGCTGCAATGGCGTTGACAACAGATAGGAAGAGATCGGCGTGTTTTTTCGGTTCTGATTCCTGAATCATCTTGTTTGCTGGAGCGAGCGTTTCGGTCTTCTGAAGAGAAACACGCCCACCAATGAGACATGGAACCGCGCGTCTCCCGAATTCCCAAGAACCAGGCACCACGCCGCGGCAAGAAGACGGCCACGCGATGCCGAGCATTATGCACCAAGCGACTGGCGGATCCCCGGCGCAATATGGATCTGACAGGCGGAAGTTGGCGCGGACGATGTGGTGCCGGCCCAACTCCGCGCTGGCCCGGGATAGAGGATAGGATTGACAAGATCCTGCAATCAGGATAAATGAGAATCAATGCCACCCGTCTGCACCCCAGTTTCTTGCCATACCATTCTCAATATTTGATATATAGCGGCGATCACCCATCATAACCTCCTATAGCTCCCCTCTCTTAACCCCTTGTCACACCTCCTTCACCCGCCCAACCGCCCGTCAACATCACCACCACCCCCAACACCGCCGCCGCCATGCCGCCCCCGCTCCTCACCACCCTCCTCTCCCTCCTTGCCCTTGCCTCCACGGCCCTCACCCACTCCCACCTCGCCCACATCCTCATCAACGGCCAGCTGTACCACGGCTTCGACCCGCGCCCAAACCAGACCAACGCCCCCTCCCGCGTCGGCTGGTCCTCGGCCGCCGTCGACGACGGCTTCGTCACCCCCGCAAACTACTCCCACCCGGACATCATCTGCCACATCGCCGGCGCCAGCCCGCCCGCGCACGCCCCCGTCCGCGCGGGGGACCGCATCCACGTGCAGTGGAACGGCTGGCCCGTCGGGCACATCGGCCCCGTGCTGTCGTATCTCGCGCCGTGTTCCGGGCTGGTCGGGTCCGAGACCGGGTGTACGGGGGTTGACAAGACGGATTTAAGGTGGACTAAAGTGGATGATTCGAGTCCCGTGCTGGAGTTTGTGAAGGGCGCGGGGATCAATGGGGGCGTGCCGGGGCAGAGGTGGGCGACGGATGTGTTGATTGCTGCGAATAATAGCTGGCAGGTGGCGATTCCGGAGGGGTTGGCGCCCGGGCCGTATGTGCTGCGGCATGAGACGATCGCGCTGCATTATGCGGGGAAGAAGGATGGGGCGCAGAACTATCCGCTGTGTGTGAACTTGTGGGTGGAGGGCGGGGATGTGGACTCGGAGGCGGGAGGGATGGAGATGGATGGGTTTGAGGCGACGGGGTTTTATAAGGAGGATGATAAGGGCGTGTTCCTGAATGTTACGGCTGGGCTGAAGTCGTATGTCGTGCCTGGGCCGACGGTTGCGGTTGGGGCGACGCCCGTGCCGTATGCGGCGCAGGTCGCGAGCTTGTCCAGGGTGGAGGGGACGCCCGTCGTGGTGACGAGGAGTACGGAGACGGTGCCGTTTACTGGGGGGGCGACGCCGACGGCAAGGATAAGGGGAAGGTATGATAGGAGTTAACGGGTGGACGGAATGCATCAGGGTTAACCCCCTGGATTTCTCTGTACATACCTACGTTATTTACATTATGACGACTTCAATGTTAGAGAACGGATGGTGTGAGATGAAGGCGGGTTCTCCTCATCATTCTACTATCTACTTGACCCCAGGCGGGTTAGGCTTTTCTGAAATCTTGTCAGATTATTCTAGACACGGTACTTGAATCGAATGCAGTGGGACAACTGTTCACTTCTTCAGTCTCTCCCACGTCATCCAACAACACAACACCCTCTGTTACATCAGGCGAGTACCTGCCAGGAGTGGCAGACATTTTGGAGGGTGTATCCTCGGCTCTCCATGGCTTAAGTGTTGTAGCGTTGACATAGAGATTAGGACTCCTCTATTTCTGCGAACAATTTGCGAATGTTCTGATTACCACCCCTCTCGTGCAGAACCAACTCGACACCGCCGGCCCGTAGTAGCCCCGGAACAGGCTCCTCGGCGATGCTTCGCAAAATTTTCCGGAGCCTGCCACGTAGTATCACAGGGTGGGGGATTACATATTGCCCAAGGCCAGGTCTTTGAGAGCAGGCGACATCTCGTGGGGCGAGCGTGATCTTCCGTAGGCTCGGGTACTCAAGCCGGGAGACGGCGTGTGCAAATCGCATCAGCTCGTCTCGGGGAATCCTGTCGGCACCGTCCACAACCAGATCCCGGAGGCAGCGGCAGTCTCTGATCGAGTTCAAGAGCAGCCCGATGCTCCGCGCCTCCCCTGATCCACAGTTGATAGCCAGCGCTTTGAGAGCGCGGAAGCGGCCCATGTCGACGGCGGGGAGTTCGTCAAGCCGCGAAGAACAAAGGCCCAAGGTCACCAATGTGTCGGCGACTGGTAATTGGAAGAGAGGTTCCGAAAGCCCCGCCATTGAAGGGGGCGGTGTAGGGAGCTTGCGATACTTCCCGTTGTATGTGCAGAATCGCTTGAGCTGCGGGAATCCGCGGACAGGGTCTTGGGCGTCACTGCCCGAAGCATACCACGTGTCGACCAGAACAAGGGATGTCAGCCGTGGCGGGAGAATGAGTCTGCCCTCGAGAATGCCAAAGCCGTCGAGTTCGAGCGAGTCCAGATTCGGTGCGGCCTCCAGAAACTTCTCCACGGCAGACTGGCACTCGCACCCGTCTTGCCGCGACTTATCCCAGCAGTAACTTCGCAGCCGGAGGCTGGTCAGGTTCGGGAAGGTTCTCTGAGCAAGCCCATCATCCATTTTCCATTGGCAGTGCATGTACATCTCGACAGACGTCACATTGGGCGCCATGGAAAGCAGGAGGAATAGCGGCACCGCGCTTTCTCGGCACCACTGCGCCATGGAAGGAGGTGCAGGAACAGGCGGAGATGAACCGGCCATGTCAACGCCAAGGTGCCGCTCTATCGCCTTGGACAAGTACCAACGATTGTCATTAACGGTCCCGCGAACCAAATCTGGGGGTGTTTGAGGGTGCGACCTGGGAAGAGAGGTGGCGGAATTCAGAACGACATGGCGAATGAGAAGTCCAAGGTCGGGGTTGGTCCACAGCGTGCGTATCTAGGGGCTCAAATGTCAGGCTCTGCTAGGACTTGGGAAAAGAGAGGAAAGAAAGGGGCGCATACAAGACATCCGAGGTTGAGGCGGCGGGGGTGCTCGTAGGGACTCTGGTTGTTCCGTGCCATGACGTGTTCGTAGAGAAACGGTTGGACGACATGGTGTAGGCGCTTGCAAGTTCGCCCCAGCCGGGTCCATTCATGCGGGTGATAGGGGAATATCTTCCCCCGTTCAGTGTCTTCAAGCGCCGCATGGAATATCAGGCGGAGCAGCTCTGTAGGAAGGTCGACCAGCCGGCAGGGAGACTGGGGTGCATCACCAGGGGCTGGGTCTTGTTCCGTGTCATCCGGCCCTACGCCATCGGAGACTTGAGCACTGGAGCTCAGGGGACGCCCTGAATCCATCTGCCAGATCGCGGTTGAGGGTGACAGTCGAAAGGAGTAAGGGAACTTGGAAGCGGAAACCGTACAACAGAGCCGGGGGGGGAGGTCACCTTGAATGAATACCCCTCAAGGCCCGCGTGTGGCGGTGCCGGCTATGCCAAGGCCTCTCTCTCCCTGCCGTCGCTCTCAATCTAACCCACAGAATATTACCCACCCTGAGCCAACTCATTGTAGCAGAGAAGCAAATGTCCTCCCGCTCACAGCTTACAGACAATTCAGCAGATACAAACCAAGTACTAACTTAGAAACGCCAGGCGATATACCTCAACCCTAAGATCGCCTATCTACTAGTATGGGCTAATCCGAAGGCGTCTAGGTCCGGGGATTCCTGCTGACACGCAGACTGAAGGTAAGGATAGGAGGTTGATATTCGACAAGGAATTCCGTCCCGTTGGTATAGTCAAACATATCCCTGTCCGGTGCATCATGTACCTCTTCGGGCCCATTCGAGAAGGTGGTGGCCTGGGACTTGAAGAGATAGTAGTCTTGATAGTCCGCTGAAGACGTACTAAATACGGATTTGTGGAACTGAATATTGAAATGATGCTTGAGGAAGAAGGTGAAAAGCTGAAGTGGAGGCGGAGGGGCGTTTTGACCATGGTTGCGATTGGGAATGCCGGATGCTGCGTACAAATCGTCCAGAACAAGTGGAATATCCAGGATTGCAGGCGAGGCCGCGAGGCACGCATGTGCTTGATCAGGGCATGCTCCCGTGCTAGAAGAGCGGGGACTCGGGGCCTTTGCGAGGAGCTGCTGGTCGGCGAGTCCATGATG